GGGGGTTAGGGATAGGGGTGACAAACAATAGTAACATGGTCGTGCTGGGTGGTGATAAAATTCAATTCCTTCCATTATGCCAAATGATGAATTCAATGGAATTTGGAAAATTCCATCAATTTTAATAAATAAACCAAATAAAAAAAATTAAAATTTGGTCAAATAAATTTATCATTTTAATTCTATCAAATTCCTTCGAACCAAATAGTGGAGGCCACTCATATGACTTATTTTTCACATGTCTTGTATACACAAATCATTTATTATTTAAAAGAAGAATATTCTTGCTTATTTACTTTTACTAAAATAAGAAAACTATTTAATAGTGCCATTTTTAAGAGGGGAATATTCTTGCATTAATATTGAGTACAAAGAAACATTAAAAATTCTGGTCAATTCTTCAACACATGTAATAAAGAAAGAAACTGTTTCCAGTATCCAATCCCCATCTCATCTTGCAACCAACCAAACAAAACTACAAAGAAAAATGAGAAAATGTAGAAAAAAGTACTTGCCACCCTTTGGAGCGCCCCATTGTACTGGGCTCATAGTCATCATCGACAGAGGGGCAATCCACAGGTTCGAACCCACACCTCTACGGCTAGAACAGATTAGTAGGGACACAAAATGAGACAATGTATGACTTAATGATGATGACCATCTGGACCTCCTGGCGCCAGTCTTGTCGGCCGGTTTTCTAGCATCGCCCGCCGCCAGTAATACTTCAAAATCGGTTCATCAAACCCGTGTTTGTTCAAAATGCTACGCGTATCATCTCTAACTTTCAGGTCATAAAACCCATGAAAACCCCATGCCCCTTTTGAACAAGAACCACAACTTAACAAACTTCCTGCTATTATAAACAGCAAGACAACAGCTAGATTGGTTGATTTAGCCATTGACATATTAGAAACACTTGAAAACAAGATCTTTATATAGACATGATCAAGACAGAAGAGACAAAAATGGTCAGTGGATAGCAGGATCATCGATGATGCGGAATCACAGAAAAAAGATAAAAAAAAAGGTGTGATTCTAAAGGCAACCCCGATCCAATTTGGAAATAATCTAAGCAGATAACGGTGACGATTTCCAGATTGGAGCGAAATCGTATTGGTGTATTGGTATAATAATATAGGATCCATGATCTAATATAGAAAACAGAAAGATGGTGTATTTTTCTAATAGTATGAGTTGGCTTTAGTCCATGGTTCAACAAATGTCAACACAGCAAGAAGTTATAGTTGATCATCTAGTCATTCTTTCTGCTTTTTTCGATATCATACAGGTAAGACATAATATACTTTACTCGACGTCATTTCATATTTGTTGTCATTTTCAACTAAACGGCTTCGTAGTTTTGTCGTCTTTCTGCCTAATGCCAATCTGCATACACACCTAGGTCCTAGCATAAAAGTTGTTTGTTTTTTTGACGTTTTCCCTTTAGCTATGACGATCATATCTTCTAATGCTTACACTTCAATACGTAAATCCGCCATTTCTAATTCTCTTACCGATCCTTGAAATTTGACTTGATCAAGAATCTCTAACTTACCAAATCTTGAACACACACTACAACATAATCAGGTTTATAGGATGACACAAATCTCTTTAAGTGTCCTAATAGACTAATTTATAGGACTTAAGTTTATACGACCAAACAAATATGTGTTCTATGTAATAGCATTGCAATAGGTTTATAGTATGCTTGTGGGCCTCTTAAATAGTTTTTTAGAACACTTGAATTTAAGTGTCATTAAAAAAATTATCTGAAAAAGTGTTCTATAAAAAAATGTGTTTATAAGACACTTCTCAAAAGTGTCCTGTAAAAAAATTAATATGACACTTTATTTTAAGTGTCCTGAGAAACTATTTAAGACATCTAAAAGCGCCTTATAAACATATTGCAACACACTTACTTTAACTTAGGATGACATATTTGTTTGCTCCTATAAACTTGAGTCCTATAAAGCAGTCTATTAGAACACTTATAGAATTGCGGGGTCCTATAAACCCAATTTTGTTGTAGTGGTAAATGAGATGCAGAGGTGAAAATTTATGAATAACTACAATATAAAATGCAATTCAATCTCTGAGAGATTGAAGCAAATGAACCCAACTGTAAGCTTGCAATTCTAATCCCTGATCCTACATCTGAAAGACAAGCTGAAAGAATTTTTTTCTTTTCTTAATCACAATCTATCCTCAGAATAATCCAGCAAACAAGTCAAGAACCAAAAAATGGCCAAAACCCAGCCATTTATTTTTTGCATCGTTTATTTATGAAAGCAGAATCCCTTCCAACTAAGTTACAAAAAAGAAAGAGAATCTAGGATTAGGATTGTGTTTGTTTTCTGTTGGGGTTAGTGGTAGTGGTAGTGGGTGGATGGGTGGTGGTAGAAGATGGAGGTGATGATAATCTTGAAAATCATAACAATAAATAATAAATAGAGGAGAGGGTTTTTTTGTTGTTGCAAGAACGCAAATTAAAATGTGCACATGACTCAACAACCAAAAACTAATGGTGTTTAATGGAGGGGCGGTGGATGGATGCTATCAGAATTGTAAAAGAGTCCCAACTCTGGTCAATGAAGTATAGTACGGATTCTAACTTGCACTTTATCAAATTTAGGTTCCACTATTGGAAATTAGGAACTGCGGGGGACCGTCCACAGCTCGACACGTGGCATATTCAATTCATCATAAATGAATGTGTTATGCATGATATGAATATTCCTCCTGAAGAGGGACACGTGACACATCTGATAGAGGAGGCATCCAATCCCTTATTAAACAACCTTAGTTCCCCTCCCCAACTGATGCAGGATCTTAAAATAATTCATGCAGTGGCTATTTGCATCAACTGCATCTACCAAAAGCCAGTTTAGCAGGACCAGCCATCCAGGTTATA